AATGAACATCGCAAAAACACAAAATCAATCAATCAACAACCCGTTAAAATCCCACTAAGTGGGGTCGGCTATACGGATCACGTGTTGTCATCGTGCTCGAAAAAGCACATATCCTCATTCAAATTTTAAATATTTTAAATCATTTTTTATTGTCTCATTCCAAGTTTTCTTCGGTCTACCCCTCCCCCTTTTTAATTTGCGTTCTTAATTCTAATGTTGCTACAAAAACCACAAAAAAAAAAAAGAAAAAAAAAACTCCATAATTGCCAAGAATGTAAACAAACCTTAAGACGATCGGCCAAGTGTTTTAGGTCCTTCGCCTCTTTTAAAGCACTGTTAGCTGCATGACTTGATGTATCCTTTCGAAGGGGACTAGGAGCATCAATATCCCGAACTTTAAGAGAATTGGGAGTTTTCAAGTTCTCAACTTTCGTTTTCTGATTTGGTCCCTTTTGTCCCTCACCATTATCTAAATCGAGTGCCGAACTTTTAACACCACTATCTTTCTGAGTTCCAAAAACAGGTTCAGTCGAAATTCTTGCTAAGGGTGGAAGTGAGCACGATTTTCCAGTTCCATTAGTCTCTGCTTGGTTGCTTCTCTTTGGTAATTTCTCCTTAGCTTGCTCTTGATGAATATTATTATTAAGCTTTTTCTCATGTGAAGAATTTTGAACTTTATCTCCAGAAGCACGAGCATTGTCTTTCGAATGTGAAGACAATTCTTTCCCGGTTTTTTTTTTCTTCAGTGATGGGTCTACATTTGCCTTTTCTTCAAATTGGCACTGCTCAGAAGAATTTTTTACACCTTCACCAGAAAGACCTCCATCTTTTTTCATATCCTTATTTTTACCTGACGTGACTTTATCGATGTTAGGATATCTTATAGGAGAAGAAGACACTGACTCAATAGGGGAACTTTTAACTTCCTGGCCACTGGCTTTGTTCTTATGGGAGCCGGATAAAATAGACGAGCTTGAATTAGCAGCAACTGTAGGATTTACAGAACCCATATCACTTTTCGAATAATCCACTGCCTGAATATTCCTCGAGAAATGCCCGTTATGATGATCATCTTTGTGACTAACTTTAGCTTTCTTTTCTTTCTGTTGGTCACTTTGTTCTTTTGCTTTCCTCTTCCTGATAGAATCCTTTTCATCACATTTTTCGGCTCCACTTGAATCTGTTTTGCTGTTATATTTATGCTTATCATCAGTCCTTGATGTTTTATTAGAAAAACTGGTAGATGGACAATCTGCTTTTGAGGAACTACCACGATTGTCAGAAGTCCAATGGTCATCATCTGCATGTAATTCCTCACTTTTTATTCTTTTAGAAGCTCTAGAACCTTCCGTATCAGCCTCTCGCTTCCTCTGCATTTTTAAGTTTGTACCTGTGGATGTTAGTACAAAACGAACATTAGAAAGTTCATAAAAACTGATTGATTACAAAAAAATAAAAAAAAAATAAAAAAAAAAATATCCAGGTTACTTCATGATTTACCTCTATCAGAGGAGTTGGAAAGTGGTTGCTTTTCTTCCTTATGATCACTATATTTCTCGACCAGAAAAACCGACTTTCTAGAAGGCGAATTCTTTCCGCTGTTCAAGTTACTCGTCTTACCAGATGTTCCGAGGCCTTTCTTGCGTGAATGTGAGGAGTTGGTGGAGCCATCTAGATCATTCGAATTTTCTACCTTCATTGACCCGTATTTTTTCTTCCCACTAGCACAGTTTTGGTTCTCTTGAGCTGGGTAACTAGCATCAGCCATGGCCATTTGCATAGAATTCACAGCACAGTTATTATTATTAAGTTGACAGCTTTGGGCCTCCGAAGGAAGGCCTGGGATTGAAGCAGAAGGATTGTAAAGGGCTCTTAAAGCATTCGTTGTCTCCTCTTGGGGAACATTGCATCGATTCATTCCAGGCCTATAGGGATTGCAAAAGATGTAAAATTCGCATATTAAAAAAATTTCCCGCACAAAGTCACAAATACATCCATAAATTTGCATTATCAGTCAAGGATAAGTCTGATAGTAGAAGATAAAGTAATTCCACCATGGGTTTTGGATTAATCTGATCACAGAAAAACTCCCTTTATGTTTCGAAACACAAATAAACCTTCAAAAATTTGTTTCTCTTTTACTATTGGATGGTCCACTTTACAATTCGAAAAGATAAATCACACCAAACTACAAGGGGCAGTTCTCCTGTTTAGCAATTAACACCAACAAATAATAAACCATGAAGCAAGAACGAATATGAAAAGGTGATCAAGACTTACAGCCAGGTAAGCATCCGGCAAATCCATTTATCAGGAAGGCTCGAAACATTTGTTCCGAGAGGTAAAAGTCTCCACTTCTGACACTTGTCGCACAAGACCCAATCTTCTTGCACTGAAGGAACACTTCCTGCTGGAGCATGTGCAAACGGTGCATTTCCATTGGGAGGGGCCAAATGAGAAATATCTGGGACCTGTGGTGGCTTTTGAGAAATATCTATATCAGATTTCTCTTTAGAAATGTTCAGATCATCACTCGAGCTTCTTCTCCCAACAGCTCGGGGATTTTTCAACCTTCCTGGGGAGTTTGTTTCGCCTGAAATAGACTCTTTATCATCGTCTTCAAATTCAACGTCCCCAAAAAAGTCCTTATATCTGTCAGCACCATTAGCCACTTTTTGTTTTTTCTTGCCCCCTGTGGATGGTTTTGCAATATCTGGTTTTAGAGCTTCCTCACTTTTTTTCCCCTTAGAGACAATTAACTCAGACGACTGGTCAACAGAAGAGCAAGCTGCATTGTTACTGACAAGATTTCCTTTTTTAGATTCAAAAGTTTTGCCCGAATTATCAACCCCACCAATAACTTGAGCAGATTCATTATCCAAATTACCATTCTCCATAAATGCCGAGAAGGTTTCCACTTTGACGTCATCTTTTAATTTTGCAGGTTCAATAGAGTTATTTTGAGAACTGGATAGAACTGGAAGTTTCGAAGCATTCGAGACAAGTTCCTCACATCTTAACGTGTCGACCTCAGTTTCCTTTTCCTTCTTCAAGAGAAAACCTTTACCATAATCCATATTGCTATTGTTCTTCTTATTCTTCAATTTCATAGATGATAAAACATCACCCTTCTCACACAACGTCGATCTTTTCTGGTGGCATTTACTGGAAAGAGACTCATTTTCTAACATCCCAGAACATTCTACACTCGTCTTGTCCACTGTTTTAGTTTCAAACTTCCCTATAGGCTTCTTTTCTTCTGTCAGACAAATCAGATCTTTTGAAATGGGTGATAAAAGTAGTTCACACGGAAAGGTCGTCATTATCTGCTCCAAGACACCAGCAGTAAAGAAGTTGATAATTTAATTCAGAAAGGTCAAATAAAGTAAATCCATATTAACCAGAAAGTTTCCATAGCTAATGTAGGATAAAAGGATTACCTCTAGAATACTGGTGGGTGATGCCTCTGGGGCCTCCGTGAGTTTACCAAATCGCCCTTCACAAGTTGTAGGACTGTCATCCAATGAGGATGATGGAGACACTACAAGACCAAGACCACTATATATTGCAGCATTTTTTCGGGTCGACAAATTTTCAGATCCAACTTTAATTCGGACCTTCAGGGTTCTCTGATCAGAAGAATTTATAGACGTAGCATCATCTCCACTTGTGAAACCGAGTTCTTCAGCATGTCTAGATTGTGAATAACTATTAATGCCTTTCAAGGAACTTCCAAGAGGTACCGCTTTTCCCAATGGAGAAGCACATGATGAAGCAAGAGAGTTTTTTCTTTGATCCTACTTGGCCAAAACGAAACATTTCATTACCGGCAATATTTTAGTTCTTTTTTTCCCTCTATCTTTCGTTGAAAACACATGAGTGAAAAATACATTGATTTTGGGTGTACAAAAGTATCTACCTCCACATGCAGCTTTTTCGGGGATCTTTGTAAGTCATGATTATGATGAGGCTCTGCATGAATCTTGGTATGAGACCCAGATGGTGACCTCTGATAAGTAGGCAAAAACGAGCCATAGCCACCAAATTTCGCCCCTGTTAAGTATTACAATTACAAGTAGTTTCTTATCAACACTCAAACATTATCAAACTACATTTTACTCAGTCTTAACTTCACATGATTTTTGGCATCCTTTTGAATAACTTCACATGATCAACACTTCACATTATCGAACCACATTTTACACAGCCTTGACTGTACACGATTTTCCGCATTTTTTCGAACTTACCCAAATTCTCAGCCGAAACACCGCCTTCGAAATCTTTCTGGAAATGCCCCAATACATTTTGGAGTTTCTCCTCCTTCAAAGTGCACACAAATTGAGGGACATGAGAGTCGAATTCTATAATCAAGAGCGAAACTTACAACTTCCTTGTAACTACTATTACACGATCTCATATATATATGTAACCGTATTGAGTGAATCAAAGATAACGTGGTGTAAATTATACGGACCTATATACCGCACCACTGCCCAGTCCAACAATGGTAACTAATTACTCTCGGTGAAATTGCATTAATGATCTTTCCCTAGTTAAGCAATCCATAAATTCAATCTAGAGAGCTGGACTGAATCAATATAATCAAACCCAGATAACCAATTAACATGATACCACCAAATCAACAACAATTTATTGTGCAAGGTCCTCACGAGTAAAGATTCAGTTCAAAGTATATTGAACGACATAATTTAAGATTCAACATCCAAATACACAAACTGAAGAAGTGATTTACACAGAAATTTAGATCCTTACAATGTAAGAGAGAGCAATATCAGGATCAATGGTGGAATCTTGAGCTTCATTGTTATAGCTCAGAGCCTCTCCTTCTTCAAGCTCAGTCTCTTCCATCTCTAACCCTAAGCTTATCCTCTTCCTTCCATCTCTACTACTCACAGATATCATGGGAAAAACAAAAGGGAAAAAAATAAACAAAAAGAAATACTAACAATTGAAACTCCCCTAAAACTACGCTTTTTTTTTTCTCCTTCAACTTTCACTTTTTCTGCAAAAATCTCACGACCCCATTTTACAGAACCGAAAACCCAGAAAAACCCATGAATTATTATCAGACTGATGCTTCGATTTCCTCACCTACCAACGAAAAAGAGAAAAGGCAGAACTATTATTGTATGACAGTGGTAGAAAAAAAATAATAAAAAAACTCAAACTTCGCTAGGAATATGGAGAGCTACTCTTGATTTGGGAATCGTGGGAGATGAATCATGTTGTGCGATCTCGAAGCTCAGAACGATGAGCAGAAAAGTGTAGAAAGAGAAAGAAAAAAAAAGGAGAGAGAAAGGCTGGTTTTTGGTTTTAACAGCAGCCGCGTTTTGTTCGTGAAGTTTTCTGTTTTTTGGTTTGAAGTGTAATTATATATATTATTATTTTGCCCCTGAAAATTGGGAAATTATCTTCTGAGCAAAAGGGAATATTGGAAACGATGCATACTTGGATAAAAAAAGGGTGTTGTTATTCACCGCCCCCCATTTTACTAGTCACCGCCCCCCTTGGACAATTTTGCCCTTCTCATTTTTTCTAAACATCTCAGAGGAAAGTGTACGGTGAAATGTCGTCAAATTCGGAGGTACGAAAAAATACGTGTACGGTCGCCGGTTCCGGACGGGCTAAAAGCCGTCCGGACGCCGGAACCGGACGGACTAAAAGCCGTCCGGACCGGCCGGCCGGACGACAAGTAAACCGGCCGGAAAGCACGGCCGGACGGACCGTTGCTGTCCGGACCGGCCGGCCGGACGGCAAGAAAGCCGTCCGGAAACGACGGCCGGTCGGAACCGGTCCGTCCGGTTCGGCCGGCCGGCCGGAATTTTTTTTTTTTTTTTTTTTTTTTTTTTTTTTTA